AAAAAATAAAATAATTTAATTAATTCAATATAAAAAATGAAAAAATTATTTAGTTTCGGTTCTTGTTCGGTTCTTCGGTTCTTGGTCTAGACCCGAGACCCGACCCAAACCCATCGGTTCTCGATTCGGGTACCCGTTCGGGTATTTAATTTATGAAGAACCGCTCGGTTCGGTTCGGTTCGGTTCGGGTTCGGTTCGGTCCGGTTCGGTTCGGGACTTTTGGACACCCCTAATCACGGGCTGCCTAAACCTGAAACCGGTTCGGGCCACCGCTGGCCCGGATTTTAAAATAAAAAAAAATTATAATGTAGGCGCTGCTGTAGCCTGCAGCCTACAGCTGCGTCAGAACGGTCTGACTATTTTTTTTTAATTTTTTTTTGACATAGTTTACTTTAATATTTTTTTTTATATATAAATTGTGGTATTGTGAAGTGAAAAAATAGCAAACTCTCACAATCTACAATCTTGAAATCTCTATTTTCTCGTTCTCTTTTAATATTTTCAGCAAGTATTTTTCATATTTAGTATTTTGTGCTTTCTTTTCATTTTGTTATTTCAAAAATTCTTGTTAAAGTGTTATGGATTCTCACGATTTTTCTTCAAGAAATGTCAATTTACATGATAATTGTTCCCCAATAAATTTGGAAGATGATAATGATCCAAATATTGGATTTTCTCAACAACGAAAAAAATAAAAAGCACACATCTGATGTTTAGAAAATGTAATTTTTACTATAATTATAAAATGTAATTTTTACCATTTATTTTTGAAAAAAAAAAATCGAGCAGGCCGAACTACTAGAACAAAAAAACTGGCCCATGCAGGCTTCCCGTCCGGGCCGGGTCAGAAAGCCCGTCTGGGCCGGGTTTTGTTCGGGCGGGCTGTGCCCTGGCTTTTCAGTCTGTAGGCCGGGCCCGTTTTGACATGACTATACCTTATAGAATTTATGACCTTAATTCCTACAGTTTCCTTTGATTTTACTGGATGTGTGCTCCTTCAAAACAAATCTCGATTACTGGTTTATACCTTAGCCCCTGAATTGACTGCATGCTCTTGACGCCACATCCCAACTTTTGGTACCTCGCCTTAATCCTCTTGAACTTATGCTTCTGCAATAGCTCTCGATCCCTAGTACCGATTTATCTTCGGTGGATTAAATGAAGAACTCCTCGTTTTTCGGGTTAGTGAATGATCAAACGATCTTTTTATGTTTTGATCTGTGCTTTAATGTGAAATAATATGGCTTGATTAGCAATCAAATTTTAAATGACTATATGACTCAAATAATATGGTGGTTGAATTTTGGAATCAATGAATGTTTTTATATCTTCAAATGAATAATTTCTATCGAAAAATATGATTTAACGCGCTTTTAAACATACCATAGGATTTATATTTATAATGGGTAGTGTTGGGATGAAAAGAAACTCAAAATCAATTTGACAATCGAACGCCACACCGCGCAGGCGAGTGACAGTTGAGCAATTGTCAGTATTTTCATTACAATTTTTTTTAAAATGTCCAATTGAGGTGATTCAAAATTTGTTGGAAAAATAACTCAATGGCTACAATTCTTCTAGAATAGCATTCTCCAAATTTGCAAATCTTCTAAGTAAAAAATGCATTGAAAGTTGCGACTGAGAATTTGGAGCATAACTCGTGTGACTCTTTGACATTCTTTAGACTTTTAATTGCATTCCAATAATCATATGTGATCTTCTTGGACATCTTGGACTTCTTCAAGATCTATACTACCAATTTCAAATCTTTTGCTATAATTAGGGCTCAATAACTGGTATTTTGACTTTGATTACAATTTGATAAACTCTAAATACAATTCAATTATGACATGATTTTGATTAAGGAAAGTTTCAATTACTAATTAAGAAATTGCCAATTATAATTTGGACTTAACGACTTATGCATATTAAAATCTTTTCAAAATCTTTTAGCTTGTTTGTCCTCAACGTACACTAGTGTAAGCCCAGATTTTGTGAACTTTTTGGAGGTCAGGCATTCGGAGAATGCCGCCACTCAACGGGTTGCCAACTTCAGATGCTAGATAGGAGAAGGAATAACCGAGTTCAATAGCTTCTTAGAAATAACATATTTAACGAAGGAACACCCTACAAAAGTCATATGTGTGAATCAAGATTTTATCTAAATATGCTTACCTTTGCAAGAAAATGGATGCAGTTTTGCTAAAGCTCAAAATACTACTATTTCTATCGGTGCATCATGTGTTCGTAGATGCATGTGATCGATGGATATAAATAAAATCATTAAAACCACATATTCTTATAAAATTTTTGATGAACATTCACCACTCGGTAAATTAAATAATCATCATTATCCACAACTAGAGATCAATAGAGTTTGTTGTCATGATTAAAAATTAATTCAAACAACAAGCCACATCTATCCATGAACAAATACAAAAGCAGCCAGTATATGAATTCCAGGAAGAACATAATGAAGCATGAATAAAAAGGACTGTTCGAGTCACAATAAGAAAATAATCAGGAAAATACCTGAATTTGTTTCTTGATCTTTGGACTTGACCACCTGAATCCGTTTCTTGACTCGATCTATTTTGGCCTTAACCTTCTTTAGAAAATCTTCAAGGGCCCATTTATCACCTCCCAAAACCCACTTCTTCTTACAACCATCATCATCATGTTGTTGATTTCGCTTCTTATTATTTAGATAGTCATTTTTGTTCAAGTTTATCACCTCCCTTACGTCACTGTGATTCTTAAGCCACGTTTCGATCTGTCTGTCAGGGCCTAATATCACAATGTAAGCCTTGACATCACACAAAACAGATAATTCCATTGTCTTCTTCTTTATACATTCTTTTCTTGTCAAGAATGCCTTCTCCTTGTCCCTCAACGCATCTTTTTTGAATTTTTTTGTTTTCAGGCATAGAATGATAGTATGATCCACCACCACCATCCGCCATGATGGTGATCTTTATGTATAATCCAAGATTCAGACTGCAATTTTGATCTATTACAATGAAAAGAGAATGAAATGGAAATCAAGATTGAGATGGGAGTAATGTAATTGAAACTTGTTAGGTTTTAGCTGATTTTTTAATTGACAAATTCTGTGGACAAAAAATACTTATGTTGCCATAGGAAAGGATCAAATCCTAAATCATATTTGTAAGGAGATAGCTGATTTTGTAATTGGCAAATTCTGTGGACATAATGACTTAATTTGATAGGATGTAAAAGTTTAAGGAGTAATGTGCAATGTGTTCTAAAGTTAGTTAGTAGGTCTAGGGTTTCGAGTTTGGAACAATGAGGAAATCGGCGCGAATTTTCGTTAGACTGTCGCCAAAGGTTGGCTCAAGCTACAAAAGTAGAAATATCATCGCTAGACCATCGTCCCTCCTTTGCTCTGTAACTCAACTACCGTTTGGCCCTCGTTCGAGTGACAGTGCTATCTGGAAAATTTTTATTGAGCGACTTCAAGGCTTTTTACTTGGCCCATTCGTTTATTGACCTACCTATAAATACCAAAACACTTCTGTACGAATTTTATGAGGCTGAACATAGAGAGAAAAAGATTGCAAAGTGATTCCTTCATATTTGATTCTTTCAACCTTTATCTGTGAGTGTTTTGGTGAGAAAAATCAATACTTCCTTTTCATCTGGTCAGAGTTCTGAAGATCGAAGGAAGTTGACAGGAGTTTGTGTCGATGAAGAACAGGTCATTCTTCGTGATCCACGGAAGATAAACGAATTCACAAGGCTTGGAGTACTGCAGGGTAGTAGATTCCACAGAGAACTTTGGAACAGCAACTAAGGATTGGTGCAGGAGAGCACGGGATCCACAGAGAGCTGTAATGAGTGCAGTCGAGTGATCAAATAGTACGGATCATCTAGTCTGGTAGACTGTAAGTTCTTAAATTCATTTATAGTGGATTGACCGGCAAAGAGCCAGGAGTTTTCCCAGTTGGATTTCTCCATGATCATACCGTTGTTCGTTTACTGCTTTATATTATGAATATATGATCTGTAGTATTTAAACTTAGGATTAAATTGACTGCGTGATTAACCATTTAGAGATAATTAATTGGTAACTTGTTGCTAATTAGTTAATAAGATTTTATTGCATGCTTAACCATCTAGAAACTAATTAATAGTGACTTTTGCTATTTAATTGTTAAGTAATTTTTAATTCTGCATTATCAGCTATTCACCCCCTCTAGGTGTTGTTAAGGTCGAACTTGTATTTTTCAATTGGTATCAAAGCCTTACTTCGATTCCTAACCCATATTTGTTAAGTACAGATGAGTCAGTCTTTGTCCATACCTCGTTTTTCGACGGAAGCAACTATGCCTACTGGAAAGTTCGAATGAAAGCTTTAAATCTTCGGATGAATGTATTTGGATTAGCGTTCAAAATGGGTGGGCTCCATCTTTAACAACTATTGCTGGTGTAGTCACACTCATGACATATCTCCATGGACTAAAACTAATCTTGATGAATACAACTGGAACAGTAAAGCATTACATGCTCTGTTCATGACTGTATCTACTGAAATGTTTATGCGTGTATCGATGTGTAAAACTATTAAGGAAGTTTGAGATATTTTAGAAACCACGCACGAGAGAACTAAAACTATTAAGAAATCTAAACTGCAGATGTTGACCACTAGGTTTGAAGAGATGATACGTTTGATAGTTTCTATGATAAACTGAATGACAAAGTCAATTCGAGTTTTAATTTTGGTGAGAGGATCCCTGAGTCAAAGATTGTTAGGAAAGTTCTTAGATCACTCCCCGAGAGGTTCAGACCCAATGTTACTGTGATAGAAGAAAGTAAGGACATAGATGCTGTTAAGATTGAGGAACTGTAGGATCACTTCAAACTTATAAACTTACTATCTCACAACCTAAAAAGGTTAAATCAATTGCCATAAACACTGTTAGAGAAGCTGTGAGGGAGTCCAGTGATACTGAGACCCTTAGGGAGACGAAATTGCTTATTTCGTTAAAAAATTCCAGAAGGTGATGAGGAATGGGAAAAAACCTCAATATGAAAAATGAATTTCCTAGAAAATTCATGGAAGATAATCGTGAAGAGAGTGACTTTAGAACTGCTAATAAGAAAACTCAATCTGTTAGATGTCATGAGTGTCAAGGCTACGGTCACTATCAGAATGAATGTCTTAACTTGAAAATGAGTTCTAATAATGGTAGACGTAAGACTTTAGCTGTGACCTTAAGTGATGATGAATCAGATACTGGTGCTCAGAGTGATACATCTGGTGAAGAAGATAATCAAAGGCTCATGGCCTTCGCATCTATAGCTACCATAGAATCTGATAAAGAAATTGAAATGGTTTGGGTTAAGAAAATTGAGGTATCTAGGTCAAATGATCAGGTAAACTGTTATGTTGACCACGTTGCACTTAAGACCCAAAATGTCTATATGTGGTACCTTGATAGTGCATGTTCTAGACATATATGTGGAGACAAGACCTTGTTCTTTTCTCTAGATGAGTGAATGACGGTGTAGTTACTTTTGGAGATGGAGCTATTGCACCGATCAAAGGAAAATGTACTGTTAAAATTACTGGACTACCTGCCATATCTGATGTGCTTTATGTGAAAGGGTTAAAGTCAAACTTGTTGAGCATCAATCAAATTTGTGATGCTGATTTTGAGGTTAGTTCTGTCCAAAAAAGGTGCACTGTGTATGACTCCACTGGTAACGTTGTTCTCGAAGGTGTAAGAACCTCTGATAAATTGTTATGAAGTTTTACCAAATTTCAGCTACGGTTGTAGTAGTGCCAAGATCAATATTACTGAGTTGTGGCATCAACGACTGGGTCATATGAATCATAACAGTTTGTCTAAGCTTGTTAAGAAGGATATTGTCAATAGCCTACCTCAGCTCGGAAATACTGATACCATTATTTATAGTCCGTGTCAACAAGGTAAACAGATTAGAGCACCCCACAAACAAACTTCTAAGATCTTGACGAACAAGCCTCTTGAATAACTCCATATGGATCTGATGGGACCACGAGAACCGAAAGTCTTGGTGGTAAAAGATATATCTTGGTTGTGGTTGATGACTTCTTTCATTTCACTTGGATTGAATTGTTGAGAGATAAAACTGAAGTGTTCAGTCTTATCATCTCCTTGTGTAAGAAATTTAGAAATGAGAAAGATTATTCTATTTTTAGAATTCGTAGTGATCATGGTAAGGAGTTCGAAAATTCAAATCTTGAGCACTTTTGTCTAGATGAGGGAATCCAACATGAGTTCTCATCACCAATCACTCCACAACATAATGGGGTAGTTTAGAGAAAAAATCACGTACTTCAAGAAATAGCGAGAGCTATGCTTCATGATAAAGATTTAGCTATGCATTTCTAGGGTGAAGACATAAATACTGCATGTCACATTATCAATAGAGTTTATCTTAGACCTAAAATTGACATGACACAGTATGAGATCTGGAAGGGTAAACAACCTACTGTCAAGTACTTTCGTGTGTTCGGCAGCAAGTGCTACATTCTGAGAGATAGAGAGAACTTGGGAAAGTTTATTCCAAGAGTGATGAAGGTATATTCTTAGGATATTCCAAGAATAGTTGGGCTTATCGGGTGTACAATAATCGCGCACGTGTTGTGATAGAATCTATCAATGTGGTGGTTGATGATACTTGTAGTGAGGGGGAGATTGGCAGAGAGTGTGTTGAGCTGGAACAGTTGGATGTTGATGTTGAGCTGGAATAGTTGGAAGTTGCTCCTCCACAAACATCAATGAGTTGGTTGTTTCAACTAAGGATTCTACTTCTAATAATGTGTTTGGAGATATAGAAGAAGGAATGAGACTTCGCAAGAGGATTTTGAACAACCTGTCATATGCGAGCTATGTGTCTCATATTGAACCCAAGAAGGTTGAGGAATCCCTTAGAGATTAATGTTGGGTTAATGCTATGCATGATGAGTTAAATCAGTTTGTTAGAACAAAGTTTGGGATTTGGTGCCTAGGCCTAATAATTGCAATGTTATTGGTACCAAGTGGATATTCAAGAATAAGACGGATGATCAAGGTATTATTACGAGAAATAAGGTCGGTTGGTTGCTCAGGGATACACTCAGGTTGAAGGTGTTGATTTTAATGAAACTTTTTTCTCGGTTGCCTGTTCCTTAGGGTTCAAATTGTACTAAATGGATGTCAAGAGTGCTTTTTTGAATGGTATTCTTCAGGAAGAAGTCTATGTGGAAAAACCTAAAAGGTTTGTTGATACGAAATATCCTCACTATGTGTACAGGCTGAATAAAGCCTTGTATGGGCTAAAACATGCTCTTAGAGTTTGGTATGATCGGCTTACTGCATACCTCCTGGAACAAGGTTTCGCGAGAGGTGGTGCAGACAAAACCTTTTTTGTAAGACGAATTGAGGATACCATCACCATAGCTCAAACATATGTGGATAACATCGTCTTTGGTTCTCTCGTTGATTCACTTTCTCATAAGTTCGCTGAGTGTATGAAGCTAGAATTTGAAATGAGCATGATTGGTGAATTAACATACTTTCTTGGTCTTCAAGTCAAGCAGACTGATGAGGGATTGTTCATATCTCAATTGAAATATGCTAAGAATCTTGTCAAGCGGCTTGGGTTAAACAGCAAAAAACACACTAGAACCCTTATGAGCACATGTGTCAAGTTAGGTCAAGATCCTACAGGTAAGAGTGTTGATCAGTCTCTTTACAGAAGTATGATAGGTAGTCTACTTTATCTCACTGCAAGTAGACCTGACATAGCTTTTAGTATAGGGGTTTGTGCACGCTTTCAGGCTGATCC